ACACTAACACGAACGAGACACAAACAAAAAAAACTAAATAGATACTAAATAGAATATGGCCTTCCCCAGCCAACACACGAGCCCAAAAACCATTAGAGAAACAGTCGGTCCAAGAAGATCTCAAGCCCGAGGAACTGCTACCGAAACTGCGAGACCGCCTATACAGCAACCGAACCCGAACTCCGAAACCAACTCAAATCAACCCACCATCAACCGAGAGAACAAGACTCGATCCCAACACCAGCACAACCCAACACGCCTATCACCACTAGCCGCAATCGGGAGCGCCGGACCCCACCGTCCCCAACACCAGAGGACCGGTGAGGTGAGAGCAGCCATGCCCTACAATCCCAGCAACCGCAACACCAGGTGTTGCAGCCACCAGGGCCCCGTTCTGTCCACCAGCGTTCCCACCACCCAATCTCGCCACAACCCGCCGGAAAATGGACACCCGCACATCCACCAGAGGCTCCAACATCAGAGGAGACCGGAGGTCCTCGAACGCGAAACGAGAGGGAGATCGAGATGCTAAACCCCTCCAATCGAAGACCCGACGGTGGAGAACGACCATCAGACTCAGATCGAGGGTCCACCACCCCAATCAGGATCTATATGACTGCCGAGGGCATCGAAGGCGGCGAATCCATCGCCAACAACTGCAGCGAGAGGGGGAAGGTGCGAAACCCGTGACGGAACGGGCGGTCGACGGTGACCACCGGGTCGAGCCTCGCCGTCTACGAGGAGGCCGAAGCTGCGCAAATCGGCGTCTGCAAGAGAGGGTTTTTGACGAGAGGAAAAGGGTTTTCAATATGGAATGTTATTTATATATTATCAGCTTGACTCAATAAAAGTGTTTGAATTTTTTTTTTAAAATTCTTGTATACAAACATACCCCAAAATTCTAACTAGCAATGGAAAATTATTAGACATACTTTCCGATTCAAATATCATATTTTAAAAAACAATATAAATAAAAGCATCAATTTTTCCTAGTACAATTATTCATTTTTTTTAGTATGCATAATTGTATTGTCTAATTATTAGACAGATTAATTGCATTATGATCTTTTAGAATAAAGGAAATGTGCAATTTATGTACTATAGTGAATGAACTTTTATCATGTTGAAAAAAAAAATATATAAAAAAAAATAAAAAAAGAAAACCTTTTTTCTTCTTTTTGTGCAAAGGGTACCAATGGATGCCAAAGACCCACAGTAACACAGGGAATCATTTCGTCCTCTGCATTAATTTTCACATGATATTTATCCATTGAGAAAATATTTTCATAATTGCAAAAACTACCCCTCAAGTTTTGTGATAATCTGCAGAAAATCATGACAAAATTATAAAAATAACCAAATAGCCCCTTGAGGTTTGACCAAAGTTTGTCAATGGCTACCTCCTTAAAACTAAGAGTCTAAGACCATTCAAGTTGCTGGGCACTTCTGTAATTTCTGTATCTCTGTGGTTTTCTGTGTAAATACTCAAATCTCAGGGGTCAATTTCTGTAATATATTTTTGTTATTAGCCTCTTGCATGCAGAGTTTCTTAACATTTTTGCATGAAAAGTAAACCATCTTCATTTATATATTCCTAATATTTAAATTTCAGTATATTTTTCACCCTATACTTTTAAGTGATCCATATTAGAAAAAGAAACAGACAAAAATGGTGTCTTCACAACAATTTTTGCCACCACCTCCTCCTGAAATTCCTCTGAATGTTGTTCCGCTTCGAATTCAGCCAATTACGAGCGTGAAGCCGCCGGTGGGCCCCACAATCGGCCCTCGACCGGGTTTTAATGGAAAACGAATTCCTATAATAACGAACCATTTCAAAGTTTCCATTTCGAGTTGTGTTGATGACTTCTTTCACTATGATGTTAGTCCACATTATATTTAAATTTTCTTAAATCTTTTATACCTTGTGAATAATTTGCATCTGGATGCTTTCGACTAGAAATGATGTCTTTTTTTATCTTTTTTTTTTCGATAATGCAGGTATTGATTTCGTATGAAGATGGCCTTGAAGTTACTAAGAGAA